TTTTTTACTTAATATAAAAAAATTATAAAGATTGGTTAAAATTTGAATGATTTTTATTAGAAATAATTATTAATTTTTATATTGAGATACAAATCTTTTTGCACTGATCCATAATTAGTAAATGAAAATATAAATTTGAATTTACTTTTTAGTCAATAAGTTTATACAATTTATAAAATACAAATATTTGATGACTTTAAACGTTATGCACCATAGGTATACAAGAATTGACACTGCGCCAGCATTATTAATATGGAAAATAGAAAGTTAATTTTCCTCTACCTTGTTCCGCTGTTTAATTTCGTTCTTGAACATTTGGAGTCGTCGATAATTCTGTCGTGGCACGTTGTGGATCAATTCGCCAAGACAATAATATTTTTGCAGTTGTAGTGTATTCGTTCCTTCCGATTGAGTGAGGTTTGTAATGACCAGTTCGCGATCCGAGCTTATTGTAGAGCAGTGGAGCAAATGAAATTAGATTTTCAATTTGCATCTCATAAATTCCATACCGAATTATTTCCTATTAAGATCTTCCTCCAGGTCCTTCATTTCGCTATCCCTTCCTTTCGTAAGCTTCTTCAAGAATCGTACATGAGCGTATTTCATAAGTTTGATCAGCTTAACCCAGTCATCGTGGATCTTTTTGTCAGATCGCGCGAAGCCTCCATGAGACATATCTCCACTTCATCAGCAACTAATGGATATTTCACCCGAAAATCGGGTTTTTTGCCAAGTCTAGCTTCTCCAGAATCATCCATTCGACGCTTAGAAGCCTCTGAAACTTCTTCGGCCCTATTATAATGTATATAAAATTGTTATAAAAATCTAAGCATTTTTACCACAAATTTTCTCTTTGGAGACTGTTGTGACGCGAGAAAAAACTGTTCTGGCTCGGGATGAGATTGCTCCTTAGGATAGGACTGCTCGGGCTCACCCAACACATTCTATCATTCATTTCTCTCCATAGTTTTACTTTATCATTACTGCTTATCAAGCGGGAGTTGGCATGTTCATAAGGATCAGGTGATGCCATATTTTTTTTATCCATACTGTCCACTGGATATATGCAAACGTTCTTATTGATTTCCATGGGAGTCGTAAAAAATTATCTTCAAAATTGGAACCGTAGAGTCTATGATCAAAGCCGCTATGCGATAGCAGGAGGGAACTCCCCTCACTATTTTTTTCAATACCTTTGATACACGTCGCATAACTGGCAAGAAAAAAAAATTAATACTGCAATAAAAATCAAAATCAAAACTCAACATAAAAAACATTCTTACATTAAATAACGTTTTCATTTTTTTGCCTAGTCTATTATAAATTATACCATCAATAACATCGGAAAGAAGTGGATCTTCCGCAATTGTATCAATCGATGGATTCCTAGATATGCAATTTAGAAGGCTGGTATAATTTGCTAAAGAGTCGGCAAAATAAACTTCTAAAGATCCCAAAGAGTTGTCCATGCTGATCATTAATAAAATTAATGTCCCATCCTAATAAAATTTTGTCTCAAATCCTTATTTCGTTTTGTTCAAGTGTCGCCGGCGCATTGCATAGGCCGAAGGGCATTACGTTGAATTCGTATAGCCCTTCCTGAGAAATACAGAGACAGAAACAACAACACACGAAAATTTCGAACATTCGTGGCTGTTGTCTCTGCTCTAAGTTAGTCGAGCTTCGACATTTATTCATTTGTTGCGGCTGTTGTTGCTGATGCTGATGTTGCCCTATTTGCCGATTCCATCGATATCAACTAGTATCCCGACGACAAATCCATCGACGAGAACCATTTGGCGTCTCCAAGACCTTCCAGCATTTCGTAATACAACCCATGGCTATCAAATTCACGAAGAAATAGAGTACCAATTGGGAATTATATATATAAGAGATGTTTGCTTAGGTTAAGTTTGCCAGTAATTTGCTAATAAAGAAACTGTTGAATCGTCTAAGCTTAGTTCTGAATTTAATATATTGACTACTTTCTTATTACGTATACTAAGCCTAATTAACTTTATCATTTTATCTTTATCATTTATGCAATTTCGAATTTGTTGTTTAGTATAGTTTCAATACAATAAAAAACTTTTTCAAGGATTTAAGGAATAAAACAAAAAAAACATAAGAAACGCGTAGATGTATATTTTTGTTTTTTGTGCAGCCACATATTGGATCTGCATCACATGATTTGAAAATAGCCTAGCGATTTTTTAGGGGTAAACCAATCAAATTGGACATTCACAAAATCTTGACTTCTCAAAATCCCAATTTCTATTTTATTCTTTGGATATCGTCGAGATGCAAACCGCAAGATATGAATCGTTACACATCGATCTTGCGATTTGATAGGATATTGATTGCCATAAACGGCTTGCCTTGCTTTAAGGAGCACCAGATTTGGGGAGCCGGTTAAAGCGTAGTCCATCACGTGATACGAGTGGCAGATGTACGCTTCGGAATCGGGGATGAGAATCATCAAACTTTCTTTATCGCTATCACATTGTCAATTGTCAACAAGAGCTTCGCTATGTGTGTGTGTGTGTGTGTGTAATTTTGCCATGGCGCTGAACAAAAAATAAAAAAATTCTCCCCTTCCTTCATTTCTTACTACTCGCTAATCATCCACTACGCTATTCACCACTCTACAAGTCTACACTATTTTCGTTTCGCTGTTTGCTCCTTAAAATCAGTCAAATTCTCTATGTTTGCATAGGCGATAATATTCATTTACAAATATGAATAAAATAAATGAAGATCCAGATCAGTGAAAGTGAATTAGGGAAGGATGTTGGACAATAGTAATTACGCGGTTATGTGAAATGAAGAGATGAGATGGATCGCTCATACAAAGTAATTCGTCGGAGCTATGCAAGTAGTCTTCATCGAACGAAATTGTAAGATTAGAAATTATCGTTAATTGAGATAAAAACTTTTACAATTGTCGAAACATAATAAATGATTAAAATATGCCCTACATCTTCGATGAGTGTAACAAGTAGTCACGATTCGCCACTGGATGTGCATGATATGTATATGGCACCAGGAAACTTTTAACCATTAATGCCTGGAGTCAATTTCAGCAAATTTTTGGAGAGAGCGGATTCGAAATTTACGAGCATCATGATGATGCACTCACTATTAAGGGCGGAGAAACCTGAAAGAGCAAGCAGAGGGTCGATGACAAACTGTAAATGAGTTAATGGAGAGAATGCGTGATTTTTATTGGAGGATTGAAGAGTATCATTTTTTGAAAATTTAAGAACAAATTTAGAGTCTCTTCTAATTTGAACAATGTTTCTTTAACAATTGATTTTTAGTTTACGCTTCTATAATTTTTTTATTTCAATACAAATAAGTATAATAATTAGTTATAATTGTCTATTTTAAACATCTATAAATGTTTAAGAATTAAGGCTATTCTAAGTATAATCTTTTTAAGTAAATAACGCGATTTAATTTTATTATATAAAAATACATTTTTGCGAAGATTTTTTTTAGATTTTTTTTTTTAAATTTTTGTTCATGGACCAAAAATCAGGTGCACGCAGGTCCAATCGTTAATCCTTTTTTTCAAAAGGATGGCACAAAATGAGCCGCTTAGTGCCAGAAGGGGTAACGATCTTACGTATAACACCAACGGTGCTATTATCTACTTGTAAAGTAGAAGATGAATGTCCGGTTACATAAGTTTGCTTTCTTATGTAACCGGACTGACCCCTTTCATCAATAAACTCGACAGGACATTTTCTTTTTTTATTGTTATGTCCAATGTCGGAGTTTGATTGAGATCTGCCTTCGGCTTCATTTTTTAGCTCAATTATTCGTTGAGAAGGATGTGGCATGGGCCATCTTGAGTTGTAATTTTCGTATTGCCTTTTTGCTCTGCCCTTAAGCTCCTTATTGCATTTGATTTTAGAAGGGAATCTTTGATTGGACATTAGGTTTTTGAAGGTACTTTGTAGTCGTGTCAAAGTTGGAACTTGCATCCTCCTCTTATTAAGGTTATATCGAACCCTTGTTCGCGACAGATTCAATCTTGTTGGCATTTTATCTTTTTTCATCTTTTCAGTAAAGGTTCTTTGAAGACGTGACAAGGTACAGGATTTTGATAAATCTTTGTTATGTTTGTTTGATGATGATGACGATGATGGTGATGATGATTGTAGTGTACATATTGCTGAAATTTGTTGGACTTGCAATCCAAACCCGTTGTTGTTGTTGTTGTCATCGTTTTTGTCACAGTTATCTAAAATCCTATTACCAGTTGATGTCGATGACGATGATGAAAATGATGATGAAGGAGGACTTAATGGTGTCGTAACGTCGGTTGTTAAGGGTTGACGCGAAGGAAGATTTAATGGTGTCGCAACGTCGGTTGTTAAGGGTTGACGCAAAGGCGATGGGGTATAGACTAGAAATGCGTCATTCGTTTTTGGTAAGAATAAAGAAGTTTGTGGCAACGTTTCACGTCGCCCAATGGCCACGTTAATATTGGTTTTGTTATTTTTATTGATATTTATATTACCGGTGGTTGTCTTTCGACAACGTGAAGAGTAAGGTGAATTTGAAGACGATTTTAGGTTATTATTTGTTCGTTGCTTGCTCATTGTGTGCTATTACTATTATGATTAAGACCTGTATTGGTACTTAGAAAAAAGAGGATCTTAAAAAACTTCCTATTTATTGAAAACGAATATACGAAAATGAACGTTCCAGAATTTTCCGTTGTAAGGATGATACACGTTTATTCTACTTTACATGGAAATTTGATCTGACGATCAAAGCCCAAAAGAAAGAATTCATGAAGTTTATTAAACATACATTTAGTTCATCCACTACGTATTGTATATGCAGACGGATGTTTCAGATCAAACAGCCTAAAAATCATCACACGCCCAAAAATTAGTCATTGGATTTTAAATTTCTTATTATTATAACGTCACCTCATTTTTCGTTATTACTGTGTGGCGTATTTCCCTCATTAGAAAATCGTGAATCTTTCATAGTAAAACCAACTATCTCGCCGCAAATTAATAATTCAAAATTCACGATGCGATTTTTTCAAATTATTGACTTTGAGCAAATTTTTTACGCAATAGATAGGTTTTTATCGATTTTTTTATTTGTTTCAGATCCTTTCATCAATAATAGCACTTGCATTTTTTTCTAATAATCCAAAAAAATAATCCTCATACAGTCAGACCTTCTTAAGTGCACGTCGTCGGGAGGTATAGAAAAAAAATGCAGATATAACGTGCATTTAGAGAAAAATTACATTTACGTACTTTTGATTCGCTATATACTTGTAACTAAATTTAGAGAGGTTTTACTGTATATCATGCGTGTATCGCCCGTAAATACATTCAATTTCGGCTCTTGTATTGCTGGTGAATTTTTGCGAACATTGTTGAGTGTAATCCGTTTATGAAATACGAGTAGAAAATCGTGAATAGAAAAATGATGTCAAATGGTGTCAATTTGATGATCCAAATATGGTAAAAATAATTACAGCGTATTTTTGTTTTATCGTTAGAGAAAGTTTGACGCGCATTCAAAGAAATTGTTAATAAGCGCTTACGTTTTAACGTGAATCGTTATTGAGATATAGGGATATATACGTATTCGTTATCGAAAATGTGAAATCAATTATTAGTTTATCATAGATACAAACCATAAATACCGTCCAAATGTTTTCCGGTCGAAATAATTTCCGATCTCGGAATTAATTCAATTTTAAAATCCCTATCCATTGGCATCTTTTTCGAAACTTACTCAATCTCTTCGTGTCTTCTGCACTCTAATAAATATTTTATAAATTAAAATAGTAAAGAAAAATAATTATTAAGAAGAGATTCAGTTCGTTTTGAGGTATAATTATCATCACCAACATATCTCGTAAAAGATCATTTCTATTTAAACGGAAAAATCAGCAACAAGAATCACTGAATATAAAAATACAAATCTAATAGAAAATTTGGGTAAATATCTGTAAAAAAGTTCAGCTATCAACTCGAAAATTAAACTTACGATTCGTTAGCAAAATAAAATCCATATCATAGTAATCAATGAGTTCTCACTTACGATGAAGCACATGTTTAGTATGCAATTTGATCCATTATTAATTCTTTCCACGTCAAATTCTAGGAACTAATAAATAATCGACGATAGTAATCCAGACTCACCAATGATGCCTTGCATTTTCTTTAAAAAGTATCATCTTGAACACTTACATGCTTATTATTGCGTGTATTTACTCTCACACTTTCTGGCATAGTATAATGGTTTATATTTTTTTAGTTTAATTATTAAATTAATAAATAATACAAGTGAATATATAAAAAACAAAAATAATATCTATTCATATCGGAAATTAAAAATCATTAATATTGCTCGCTCTTCATTAGAGCGTCCATGATTCTATCATAATAAGCCACGAAATTTCTTTCAAGCAATCTCTCGAGATAGAGGAACTTTGTAATTTTGGGTTCCTTTAGTATTGTTTTCACGTGTAGTCTTCTGTTTCTTTTTTTGTTGTGATTCTTGATCAATCTTTCGAAGTTTGTTGCCTCAGATTCTTGACCCGTTTGAGGTTTGGGTGGCACAAAATAATTCTAGCACCAGAAGGAGTCATACTCCTATGAATCACACCCGAAAAAATGATATCTAATGCTGTTGGTAAATGCTTAATATTGGGGACTTCCTTGTATGTAGCCACTTTAACCTTTGGGATCAATGTATTTACGTTTTATACCATCCTGTTGAACCGAGATTTCTTCAACAGGTTCAACTTTCACTTTTAACGACAAAGGATCTCTCCGATGGAAGTGGCGTTGGCCATCATGGATTAAATTTTTCTAGAATAAAAATGCTTGCCTAAACTATTTAAAAAGGTTATAGTTTCGGCTACTTGGAGGTTAAACTGGTTATCAATCACTTTGGTTTAAACTTACCAAAACTTTTCCTAAACTCAACAAATATCAAATCAAGTTTCGGATTCAAAGTTATTTCGTAAAAGATTAGTTTCGGTTTTTTCACTTTTTGCGTGTGGCTGTGTTTCTACCGACATCTTTGTCCATCGAAGACACGCAAGTTCAAAGGAAGTAGATGTTGACGAGTTTATTTTAATACGGTTGTCAATATCTATAGTAACAGGATTATTCTTAGATGCTATTTCTTAAGGAGGTTACTGGAACCATCGTTATTATTAGTCGGCCGAATGGCATTTCGAAGACGAAAAAATTGTTGCGAAACTTCTTCACGCAGTCTATTTTACTATTGATGGTGACATCGGAATTTGTTTCCAAATGCTAATATATTATCATTGAATGTTGAAAGAGGTAGCGGGATGATCTGCTAGGAATTCATCATTAAGACTTGGTGAAAGTGGTGTAGATCGTGACAATGGAATATTACTTTCGCGTCGCCCTTTAATGTTCATGCGACTAGTTATTGTGTTCTTGCTACTATTTGTTGTTGAGGGACACCATAAAAACAGTGGTAAATTTCAAAGTAACCGGACATTAAGATTTGCTTGTTTCTTTGACATTATACTTGAATTCGTAACTATTGCTATTATCGTTAACAATACGACGCGTGTTGACGACACTTATAAGGAAAGGATCTTGAAAAAACAAGAAAAGTCGGTTATTTCCTTTGTTGGTCCTAGCTAGTGTTTTGTGAAGAAACTGGTAACGGGCAAGATGACGAAACGGCGAAACCTTGTGGACAATAATTTTCGGACATTTTAGTCTTACTTTATATGGTTAGAAGGCGGATTATCATCAATTTATTATTTCGAACAAAAATATTATTTAAAATAAGAGTCTAATAATTATATAGTATAAAATTCAACTTCTATAGGAGACAGGCAAATAATCTAATTCTTTTATGTGATTAAAATAATAGAAATATGACAATTACAAAAAGAATAATGTAAAAAGAATAATGGTAACTAGCAAATTAGAATCCAATGTTTTTTTCGGGGGTGTTGTGTGTTTATTCAAACGCGAGAAAAAATTTGTGTGTTCCTCTGTATGTATGTGTGCATGTCTTATACGCCTCCCGAAGCTCTTTCAATCGGGATTCTACGTTGATCAACCATTGTCGCATAACTACTTTGCAGTTGGATCTCCTTAATACCACTCATCACTTCCAAAAACTCCTCAAATTCAATAGCATTAGGACGAGCCAGATTCATTCCACTCAGTATTGTATTCACATCACGCTCATGAACCGAATACCCAAGAATTTCGAGAATTCCCGCCATGTCATCAAGTTGAATATACCCGTCCCCTTTGACATCCAACTCCGCGTATATCTTTTGGAAACTGGCAAGTTCTTCGGGTTGGAATCGAGATCGCGAGTAGAATGCGTGATGCTCAGGTCGTTTACCGGCTCGTAATTCGGTTCTGGCTTTGGCCAGTGTAAGTTCTTCTTTGGGTGGTGGAAGACCCATCGTTAATAGGAAGGCAACGGCTTGTTCATATTCTTTTGATTGACGTTGCTCTGACCATTCTAGTTCTTCAGCCATGATATCAATAATTAACGGTAATGAATCCAACGCCGCTTGTGCATTTAAGAAGGCCAATCGAGTACGACGTGCAATCACATCCTGGAATATACAAAATGATGTGGGATTCTTGGAAATATGGAACTTGTGCAGAAAATAACAAAAATAAAAGTATCTACCACTAGTGTGCAAGCATATTCTCTACGAACAGCATACCGGACTTCCGAATCGACATATGGATAGAATGGACTCAATCTTTTTCCGAATACAGGCCAACGTTTTCCTGTAGGTTGCGCCAATGCTGCAACCGCCCAAGCACGATCCCCATAACTATTTGTCAAGTGTTGAGCAATCTATACATGCATTAAACACACATTATTCTTAAACTAACCAAACACTCGCGATCATTGGTAATATAAAGAAGAATGACGGAATTACCTCCGTCTCCAGGCCAAACTGTTGAATAAGTTTAATAAACATCGTTTTCGAATATCCATGAGATCCTATAAGTTTAACATTACGAGTAATACACGGATTTTGCGGTTTCAAGTCTAAAAAAAGGAATTATAAATGGAATTGTGAGTTGTATGATGATCATTATTCTCAACGTGATAAATGTAGAAATAATTATCCTCACCAAATACTTCAATAGCTTTATCGATCGTCTCTTCAGCCATCGCACGATAAGTTGTCCATTTACCACCTGCAACCGTAATTAGTTTAGTATCGCTAACATGAATCATATGATTTCGCACTAAATCAGCGGAATTTTTGGCTGATGGATCACGAACAAGAGGCCGAATTCCCGACCATGCAGCAAGAACATCTCCACGTCGAACTTTAATTTCTATTCATATGCAATAAAAAAAATAATGAAGAACCTCAAGAATAATGAATAACCATTCGTATCAGATAAAATCAAAGAAAGATGAATACCAGGGCTTAGGTATCTTTTAATCTCATCCAATATCCATTGCACTTCTTCTTCTTTTGGCATCGGATTATAAGTGACTACAGTTGGTGAATCGGTTGTGCCGGCAATCGTATTCCCTTGCCATGGCAAGAAGAAAATAACTCGACCATCAGAAGTTGCCGGATCTATTAAGCCCATATTTCCGGGACTATAATAGTTTGGTAATACTATATGAACACCTGAAGAGGGCGCTACTATATTTTCCGCTTGTGGATTATCCATGGAACGAAGTCTATCTATATGTTGTTGAGGTTATATGTATAGTTATGAGGGATATCGGAGAAGTATACAAGAATGAAAAACGCGTACTTTACCAGTAAATGGACCAGTGGCATTTATTACACCTTTAGCTTTCACATCCCATTCATCACCTGTCAACGTATCTTTAACTCGAGCTCCATTTACAATGCCATGCTCATCTTTTAATAAACCTATTACTTCCGCATGATTGGCTACAACCGCACCGCTCGCAATCGCTGTTAATGCAAGTGCCACATTCATGCGTGCGTCATTATGCTGACCTGTAACACGCATACACACGTAAATACAAGACGAAAAAATACACTAAATTTTGAATATTTGTTGTCATCTCCATACCATCATAATAAATCATTGCTCCGACAAGTTTATCCTTCTTCAACATGGGAAAAGCTTCGAGCGCTTTACTGCGCATCAAAAAATATGAACTTTCAACATTCTCTTTGCCTGCAAGAAAACTATATGCTTTTGAACCGAACCAATAATAACCGAGTTGCCACCATCTAAAAATAGCGCATTAACACGTAGCGAAAAAAAACCGGGAATTAGGATGCGTCATGATCTCCCCCCCTCTCCCTCCCCCAAAAAAACACGCACAGAAAACCATTAAGCGAAAACAATAAAATAGCAATAAATAATTCCGCAAATGATTTTTACAAGAGAGATTTTCGCTTATTTTATGGCTGTGTATAATGATCATACTTGTAAATTGGCAGCATAATCGGCAAATGTATACTTAGATGAGGCGCGATATGTAAGAAAGTAGCACGTTCGTGTAATGCTTCTCGGACCAATTTGTATTGTTCATAATCAGCTTCCCAAAAAGCTTTCTCAAGATATCTCACACCACCATGCACCAATTTCGTAGAACGTGACGAAGTGCCCGATGCGAAATCGTCGCGCTCTACCAAAGCAACTTTTAGACCTCTCGTCGCAGCATCAAGAGCTGCTCCTGCTCCCGTGGCACCACCGCCAACAATTAACAAGTCAAACGGTGGTGACTCCTTGTTATGTGCTATCGGCGTACCGTCTTTATCTTTTCCCTGAAGTAGGTTTATGATTTCTTTTCGTGACGGTGGAGTCCATAAAGTGTGCGGCCTATCGTAACTACTTTCTAGATATGCAAAACTACCACTAGAACTCGCGTCTGCATTCGCTTCTGTTATTAGAAACTCGGGTGCAAGCCTCGATAGATATGTGCGTATCAAGTGTTGTTGTTCGTCACGTCTTTTACGCGCTGAACTTGAGTATTGGTAATAGGAGACACCACCAGCGGCTAAAGAGGCTATACTTGTATATGCTAATCTCTTTCTCGTCAAAATACTCCACATATTGATGACTTATTGATGATGTTTAGATAAACTCTATTTTTCTAAGATTTGAAGAATTCGTGATATAATGATATTATTAGTTGAATACAAGAAAAGCGAGTTTGATAGATAAACAAAAAAGGTGGTTGAATGTTTATAAAAGCTAAAAAAATCTTGTGAGGTTCATTCTACATTTTTCCGAAAGAAATCAATGAGATCAATCAATGAAAAATTTTCAGATATGAGATTTTTTTATCTAAAGATAATAAAGTCGTTGGACATGTGAATTAATCGCGGTCAGCTGTTGTTTAGTTCTACACATGTGTGAACCATTCAATAGATGATTAGGTAATATAATTTGAATGAAACTTCCAAATTTGATAAAATCGATATACATGTATTATATAAATCATCAAATGATTCCACCCAATGTCCCATTATTCACAGCAGGTATCAATCCAAGAATCTTTGCTACAATATTGTACAATTCTACATTTTGGAAGGGTTTAATAGTGTGAGATAGTGTCTCAACGCTGTTTCTAAGTCTAAATCTAAATTTATTATTCTTATCATTACTATTATTTTCTCGAGCAAGGTGCTTGAATGCAGGTCCACGTGCCAAGAAGATGGCTTTCATATCATGAATTAAATGATCGTAACCATGCAAGCCCGGTGGAACAACATCAAAAGTAAAATCACGCTTGGTGGAAATCACCCACCCACGTGTTGGAATACACAAAATAGGACTTATACGTTTCGAGGCACGGAAATTGAATCTCTTGGGAATTCGATGACGCAAATAACATTCCCAGTTTTTGTCGTGACTTGCTTTTCGTAGTGTCGCGTATATTTCGGGGATATCATCGTCGTTATATGGACGTATACCGCCCAATGGAAATCCTTCGACTGGATGTATTAGTGAGGTGTCGATGAAGTCATCGAGAGATATTAAATTGGTGGGATTAGTTTGTGACATACCATGATCACTTACCTTTTTTATTGTTGTTTTAATTGAAAGGTTAATTGACACAATTACATCTTTTACCATTAAAACAAAGCACTTAAAAAAAAATAAACAAAACTTACGATAATGACATTAACAATTTCTGTTAAATTTCGTATAGCCAAACCATTCAACAAATCAAATGTCATATCGTCAACCGATTTCAACGCATCGTCAACTTGTTTTGAATACGGACCGTAACGATGACCTGCCGAATCCGGCTGACCTACATAAACGGCAATAAATGTAGGTCTCTTCTCGGTTGGAAGATCTAACCATTCCATTACTTTGGCCACTTTATCTTTCGGTGTGACGTTTCGTTTATGCGGAATAAGGTAAGTTGGTAGATAACCTTTGATCTTGACTTCAGAACCTGCCCACATTATCACGCCGGATTTCTGATTTTGTTTTTCGGCAGTGACCCAAAGCTATTTTAACATTTTAAATATTAAAATAAGAAATGATAAAAGAAATAATACCGATTTTTTAAGTAATAAATGACAATAACCGGTTCTCCGCCCCACCACTTTGACTGTAGGCGTTTGTCCGGATTTGCGTAATCAAATGAATCATTTAGTTCCGGATCGAAGAATTCGTTTCCCACTATACCATGTGATTCAGGATAAAGGCCCGTGATTATAGTGTAATGATTGGGAAAGGTAACCGACTAGAAATAATAAATACATGTTAATTTAAATAGCATATTTTGTCCAAAAACAATACTTGAACAGTAAAGAAATTTACAAACTGGGAATGAAGGAATCATATATTCCGTTCTAATTCCATCATGTACTATTGATTACAATATAAAATAAGCATTCATGTAATTACTTTCGAGCTCAAAATTCATTAAAAACAAAAAAAAATATGAGAATAAACTCACTAAACTTGCTCAACACTGGTGTAAGTCCTCTTTCCAAATAATCTGCTCGAAATCCATCAAAAGAGATCAGGATAACCGTCGAATTAAAGTCACACGTACCATTATTAAAAGTAGGCGGATGATAACATGGCGTCTTTGATAGTAGAGATGAAAGTAATGATACTTCCTCTTCTGTAAACAACATGTAAAAACCCAGGATAACTAAGCACACGAACCCTAGCCAAATTTTGCGTTTACACGTTGTTTGACGAAGCTAGAATATAAAGTAACGCGAAATAAGACACATTTAAAAATACATAATGTCAAAAATATCAAAATATAATGCATTCAATGTTTGCCAAATATAATGCAAATTTAACGTTGAAACTACATATGAAATGCTAGAATCTTTGTGTGCTTGCCTCAAAAGAACCAAGAGTTTTCACAGAAACACCATCACGTTTAAGCATTAAAGAAGCTTTTTCGCCCGTATTAGTTTTTTTATGTCTCGTTTCAACTAAAAGTACTCTTTTGTTAGGTGCAGTAGACATCTTTTGGGTCGATACAAACAAAAGAGTGAAAAATATGTATGGAAATAAAATTAAAGTTAAAAAAGGCGCGAACATGATGAGATGATACTTGCTCGGCTACCTGACAATTAACACTATACGTGACACGTGATCTCATATATAAAATTCCATGAAACGATCATTTTTGTTACAATTTAGCATACATACGAAAATCAAACAATAAAATCATTTGACTATTATTATATCACGTGATTACATATAAATTATTTCGAAAATTCATTTTATTGGTCCCAGTGCACTGTTCGTAGTACACAGTGGCTCTCTTTATAGGTACCTCTTTATAATTAAACTCGTGATATAGTGGATTTTTTACTATTGAATTTTTTTGTTACACTATAAAGAGAGTTACTGTGTAATTGTGCAAAAATTTCTTAAATGCTATAATTTTGGCTATATAAAACCAAAGCTTGCAAATGAATATTCTATGGTAATGTCATAATTAGAAAGATTTTGAGAAAGTTTGTACATCGTGACTCATCCTGAAATATCAAACATCCAACCAAATATAGATCACATTTTATTAGTTTTGGAATGGTAATATACGAAATTGTAACAGGTGAAGGACCGTTTGATGAGTGAAGTCATGATATATCTCGTATTAGACGTTATAAAGGAGTACGACCTACGATACCAAATAATTTCCTGGATGATGCAATTCATTATCGAAAAACGAACCCACTCAAATGCAGTTTTTACCAGTCAACCTTTACTAAAAAATTAATATCAATTCCAACTGATACAGGTACATACATTTATTTTTATATTCAATATATTTAAAAAAATGCTGTAAAATCCACATCGATACATTAAAAATGCTTGTTTGCATGTGATATAGTTTATCGATGCGAAATCAAATTTCAATGTTACAGACGAAGAAAATGATTTCTTTTAACTTTGATGATTCAAATACATTTAGATAAAAATAAAGAGAATACGAGCGGCTTAAAAAGAAAAAACTACATGTACATGATTGCAGTAAATGCACTCGTTGTCAAGAAAACGATCCCTACAGTGAATTATTTGATTATTACTATCAATTTTATAAAGCTAAATTATCTAGCAAAAAAAAAGAATTATAAAAGAGGTAAAAATTGAATAATTTTCAAAGTGTGATTAAAATATTTTTTCTGATACAATTAAGCTAATCAAAAATAGGTCGGAATAATGTATGACAATTTGTCAGAACGCGCCTTTAATTTTTTACGTGTCTTGATCTTTTACAATTCGCTTGAAACTAAAGCAGGTATGTTTATATGAATTTTATTTATTAGCTTTATATATTGTAAACATTATAATGAGATATTGTTAATATATTAGTTAAAAATATGGTTCGCATTCAATCTGGTGTATCATGATCAAATAAAATACGAAAAAAACGACGAACTTGGAATGATTATGAGGAATGATCTTTATCTCAGTTACAATATCGGAACATAACCCACTATTTAAGTACCCATTTTACACAAACCTCCGTTATAAAGTACCGTTCTCCTTACAAAGTACCCGGTGAGTACTAATCTACTGCGGAAAAATTACGGTAACAATGACCTACCGCGAGGAGACGGAATACGACGAAAACCAGAAAGAAGAAACGATGGAACCGCTGGTTATGGGTTCCCGTCTGTGCAAAGTTCTGAGTGGGTGAGACAGAGTAGGATGTAAAGGGCTGGTCTCCGTGAGGAACCAACTTTAAAGTATGCTTACCACCGCGACTCAGTGTTTACAAATTCATATTTAAGAGAGCTTCCGAACAACCTGAAGAACTAATGCTAGGCCCGACCCAATGCAGACGATAGAACTACATTAAGCTGGGAAGTAGCTATAGTTGGTGAAAGCGTAGCCCACATGCTTGGGGAGAAAGTTTCTTTTAAGTAAACGGGTACGGCGACGGCCTTTAGGGTACCTTAGAATGTAAATATAAAAAACCTTTGCTTTCAAAATGGCCAAATTGCTGGAACGTCTTGCTACTATGTCTACCACTTAACCGGGGAAACCCTGTTAATAGCCGGTGCCACGAGTATCCGGTCATGGTTAAAAGGATATTAGGGCGCATCATTCTAGAAATAGAGTAATGTGAGGTGGAAACGCCTAAGAGACAACTAGCAGCCAAGCTTCGTAAGACCCGCACGTGATGGTGCAGCTATGCATTAGCCCAGAATTGACAAGACTACTCACCTTGCCGACTAATGTATAGTGGAAACACGGAGAAGGTTCACAGACTAGAAGGTCATCAGTGAAACTAATTCTAATGTACGTATGGAGCGTTCAGGTCGTGCTGGCGTTATTTCAACTGCGTGACGGTTTTAGATGTAGCTGAAAGGCATAGTCGATGAAAGTAGAAATATGTGTCTGGGCGGTGTAAACTTATCCAGACTTCGGACTATATATATTAGTTTGTGGTGTTCGATTAATGTGTGAGCCCCCTATGGCTTGGGTAGAGGACACGCCTTTTTTCACATCATAGTGTTTTAAATGCGAAAGACCACGTTGTCGGAATTATGTCCTAGGAAAATCGCTAGGCTCTGATGAGATAGTAAATCGCGGTTAGAACATGTATATAGACCAAGACCCAACCTAAGTGTTGTATTTAGGACGTATGATATAGTTTTAATTTTGAGTGTTTCATGTGTATCACGACATCGTAGTAATGTTGAAGTAAATAGCATCGGCTAATAGATGATAGTTTACTAATGATACAGTAGGCTAGTCTAGTAGTGGACATGTCAAGTTACTCAGGACTAAGTGAAATATAGATGGCATCCAAGTTAAAACCGTAAAATTGTTTGGAGTAGGCGTACGACATCTATTCGCAATGATGAGAAGGTGAAAGGGAAGTCGACCCGAAAACTATCTGTAGTGGCTGAGTGAGACAGAAGTGTTCCTCTGCAATTAACATCCGAAATAGGGTACCTCTCTACGTGGGATGACATACACAATTAGGAGGATCCGAACCTAAGGTCCTTGGCAGCCAGTTGGAAGTGATTGCCATCAAATGCACCAAGGGTGGTGCAACCTTAAAGAGGATTCAAATTTTTGTGGTACTAAGTCTTGCATGGGTGGTATGATCTATGTGTAGGACCCTGGTTGTGGTCAACAGATCTAAGCTACAGACGTCGAGGGAAAACCAAACGGAAACCCTATCAAATTGTTAATAGTACTAAGTATGGTGAAAGAACATGTCTTATCCGAACACACATTCAACTACGCGTGGGAGGAAAACTAAAACGCCGAATGTTTATTTATTGTAGGTTGCACCACTGCTTAAAAAGGATTGGCAACTTAATGGGAGACTTCGGTCGCAATGAGAAACCATTATGACTAGAGGGGTCTGATTGTGTTAGAAGTAATCTAGACACATGGAGACAGTTTTGTATATTGTAGGAGCTGTCACGTAGCTATAATCCAAAGTATGAGGATTATGTAATGTACTACACTATTGAAACTCACAGTCGACATCATATCATGGCAGAAAAATTTCAATTGACATCGTATCATGGCAGATAGTCACCGGGCAGGTGTTTGGCATCCGCGCAGGTTTGGCCAAAAACCGGTTAAATGGCGAGAACGGTAGAACTACTAGTGGGAATAAAAAGCGTAGCCCACCTCGTCCCAAATACAGTTGGAGAGCTTTGGTCACTTGATCTTGCGAAGGGTGACAGCGGATGAGTGCGAACGCGGCACTAGGGGTGAAAAATGTCTTCCCTGGCTAGGAACTAAATGATGCTTACGGGATAGAATTGAAGCTCTTGCTAGCTATTCTGGCATCGGCAGATAGTGTCAAACTTCAACTATTAAACGTGACATGATTAGGACTAAAATTGAAAATTTAATGAAGCTGAGTGATTTGTCAATGATTAAAGCTCTTGCTAGCTATCCTGGTCTAGGGCAGGTAGTGTCAAACTTTAACTTGACAAAATCCTAACATGATTAGGACTAAGACTGAACCGATAGCCGATGATTGCCACCGTATATTCGTGACGTGTTGAAAGATAATCTTGCAAATTTTTGAATGTGTTAAAAAAAATATAACATATGGAAAAAGTTCTAGATAGCTGACTGTGGTGAGTAACACCCTCTGAAGGCTTGGTAACCCTGAAGTGTCACACTAGTGGTCATACTAGCAGCGATTTTCTAGAAAACTCGAATAATCATTTTGGAACAACCCAACGGAACTAAAGGACACTTAAACGACAATCAAAATAGTGACGGTAACATAACCAACAATGGGAATTCAAACGAAAACACCAATAAAAACAGACAGTCTTCCAATTACGAAAATATTGAGACAATTTAATTAAATTATAATTTCTTTTATAAAATTTCTAGTTACTATTATTAATTAATAATTAAAATTATAACTTAAACTTATATATTTAAATTAAATTTAGTTATATATACTTTTGATTATTTTTATACTTTGAATTATATTTTTATAATCAATTTTTTTATTAATTTAATAATAATTTTTAAAAAATAGAAACATTATTATTATAATTTAGAATTTTTATTATTTAATAATATATAAATTAATTATCTTATAATTTAGAATTTTATTATTTAATAAAATATAAATTAATTAAAGAATATTTAATATAAAGAAAAAATGTATGATCCAGTATAAAAAGATTTATATTTCAGATAAATATTAATAAATTATTTTTTCAAAATAAAATTTTAATTCTGTCTTGTTATTAAGTATTAGAATTTATTTAAATATAAAAATTTTTACTAATAATAACTTTTTTAAATTACAGTAATAATTAAAAATAATATATCAGAGACTAAATTTATTAATAAAAATTGAAATTTTCTTTTTATATAAAAATTTATAATTTTATTAAGAAATAATTTTTATTTTTATATTAAAATAAAATTTAGCAGTTATAATTTAATATAAATATTTTCAGATTTTTTTTGAAAGAGTTATTTTAATTATAAAATTAGTATAAAAATTTTTATTAATTAAATTTCATTTTTAATTAGTAAAAATTTTTATATTAATTTTATAATTAAAATAAACTAAGAATTATTTCTTATAATAAATTTAGTTTTTGATATATTATTTTTGATTATTTTTTAATTTACTATATAAAATTTGATTAAAATTAATATAAAAATTATATAATAAATAATTTAAATACTAAACTTTAAATCTTAATTTCTTTATAACTATTAATTTAATTTTTATAAAATTTTAAATATATATTTATTAAATCTAAGAATAATAAATATTATAACTATTATAATCTGATAATATTTTGTTTATTATAATATTACAACTTAAAATTACTAAGATAATAACTAGTTACAATTTAATAATGCTAATTTATTATAATATTATAATAATTAAGAAGTTTATTTTTAAATTTAAAGCAATCTGCTTGTATAAATTAAAGTTTTAAATTATAAATTAATAGTAATAATATTTAAAATATCTTTTTTTTAAAAAATAATTTTATTTTAGCTTTTTTTAGAAAAGTATTATTTCAATCATTATTAAATTAAAGTATAATAAATAATATAAAAAGTTAATTTAAATCATTTTTTATTTAATATAAAAATTGATTAAAATTTGAATGAGTTTTATTAGAAGTAATTATTGATTTTTATATTGAGATACAGATCTTTTTTTTTTATTAATCAAGTCTTTTAATCAAGTAAATAATATAAAACAATTCAAATAATATTTCAAAAGTGATATGCCAATTTTGTTATATAATCTCTTTATTGATTTGATATTTTACAAAAATTTTTGTGCTTTGTCACACAAATCCTTAATTTAGCCAAAGTCTACTTTCAATTTAATTTGGATTAAATTTTTCGCAGTCTGGATGTTTTGTCGGGGCTGAAATTAACGCATCCCATTGGCTGATCAGTTTATATTCTCTAATTTCATTGGTCGATTTCAACATCAGCATAATTATACCAATATTTTGTCTGTTTTCGAGTAATATCTTTATATCTGTGTGGATGTGTGATATTGAAAAGGTTAAAACGAACAAAGGAGGATAGAGAGTAAAAATTTTGGTATCCGGTAAATAATTACGTAAAAAATGTAGCGGCGAAATAAAAAAATAAATTCAATAGACAATCTTGAATCTTGCAAGATTTATTTGATCCTTCATATTATTAACCTACGCACAACATCATACCACCAATCACTGCGGTATCCCATCTCATTAAAACAACACGGTCGGAGAGAAGACTATTTTACGATGGGAGAAGAATTGATAAATAAAGGAGTTTAATTTAACGCCACTAATAAATAGACCCCCCAAGATCTAATACAAAATATATTGTATAGTACCTCGACCTGATACCGATACGAGGTCTCATATAATTTGAAAGTTACAGTAATTGAAAAACAAAAGTGGATGTTGTTTCTCGCTACCTAACTCCTCCATTATTCAAGAATTCGACTCTATCAAATAAATTGACAACTGAATGTCATGAATTATACTATATTAAGTGAATGAAGAGTGATCACGCGATAATAAAATTTTGTCAAGAGACAAAATAAAATGTCTGTGTTTTAGATCAATGATGATGATGATGATAACAAGAAAGAAAAGAAAGGGTAATGTAATAATAATGGGTGTGTAAAAAAGCATATCTAATGAAGGGAGTATATATAATTGGTATGTATGTATATATATATATACTGTAATTAAAGAAGGAAAAGATTATTTAAAATATTTTACATCTAATTTTTCTCCAAAATCCATCACTAATATATTTTTGTCCTGACTCGTGCTAAATAGAATGGTAATGATAATAAGGTTAGAAACAATATAATGTAGGATTTTAAAGGAGAAACGAATGATGATTAAATTCTCACCTAACAATTTTTGTTGCACTAAATTGTACATCAAATACCCAGCTCGTATGCCCATCCTTGAAATCCAATAGAGGTTTCCCGCTTTTCAAATCCCACACTTTAACCGATTGATCATAACTACCACTCACAATTTTATCATCATCGAAATGTAATGTCCTTACTAATTCCGTATGACCATACAGCGTATGTATACACTTTCCGGTCTCCGCATCCCATATTTTGATAGTATGATCATTTGAGCCGGAAACCACCAATTTCCCGTCATATTGTACACATGCTAGTCCACGCATGTGACCAATAAAATCGCGAATACATTCACCAGTTTCAGCATCCCATAATTTTATTAGCGCGTCACCAGACGCAGATATAATTTTATTGTCCTTTAATTGAACTGCATTCACTGGTCCACGATGTCCTTTTAGCGTGCGCAGACATTCATATGTTTTTATATCCCATATTTTAATGGTGCTGTCTTTCGAGCAAGAGACGATATAGTTCTCGTTGAAACAGATATCCAGCACCCCGGCAGTGTGACCTTCGAGTTTTCGTATTGGAATCAGGTCATGCATATCCCACACGATTACACTCATATCACTTGACCCAGAGACCATTATTGATTCGTTAAATTGAAGACATAATACCGATGCGTCGTGTCCAGTCAACGTTCGCAAGCAAATTCCTGTGCTTATATTCCAGAATTTTATTGTTTTATCACGTGAACCAGTGACAATTTTTTCCTCATCAAATTGTATGCAATACACACTATCCGTGTGACCTCGTAAATATCGCTTATCACATTCACCTTCACTCCAACGTTTCGCCAGCAAGAATCGATTTTTAAACATTTGTTTCCAATCGAGATCACGGTACATTATATGTGGTGGTATTTTTACTTTCCACCCTTGACTCTTCATATATAATCCACGCCATATTTCATTATCACGTGTGATACAATACCATGCACGTGAAACTCTGGAAATTTGACACAGTGTATTAAAATTCAGAAACAGTAATATACTAGTAGCCACCTCATAAGGAAGACTACACAGAAAATCTAGATAGTAATAAATTGTTGATTATTAGGAATGACGTACGCGGAAACTAAAGAAATCAAGAGGTTAACCTTTTTTCTTACCTATTCGAAGTACACAATCATCCGAGGTGAAAAATCCTTCATCTTCAATTTCTGAACCGCCTACAAATGATTTGTAGGGGGAAGGTAATTGTCGTCTACTAATAATCGGTCCGTGTCTGGGATCTTCACTGATAGAAGACTTGAACATTTTGAAAAATCTTAATTTACCACTTTGAAGAGCAGATATTGGACTTTTCATGGTCATATATCACGGATCGATTTGATTTTAATGGGTAACAAGGGAGATGGAGAGAATAATTGTCGAGAAATTATTGTGGTTTCTCTCTTAATGAGGGTGAAGTAATTGGTGTGATGTTTAGAATTATTTCCTCGACAGACAGCTAGTTGGTAATTTGCCAGTATATCCGGGAGAAAGGTGTAGAATAATAAAATCACGCAGATAATATTTGGTTATTTATGTGTTGTCAAAGATAAAATATGAATTGGAGGGAAAGGAGAAGTATTTCGTGAATCTTGTTATATTGTATTATGATGAGATGATTTTTTTAATGGTCAGAACCTGTGACCAAAAAAAAAAAAAAAAAAAAAAAGGTAAGCGAAAAAGGGTTAATGAGAAAAAGGGAATGGTAAAAGGTAAGAAGCGATAGAAATAAAAAATAAAATAATAAAATAGTGAGTGAAACAATAAAAAGATGATAGAAAAGATAATAAATATTAATAATTACTACTACTGTATAATATAACGGGGTCGAGTAACGATGGTAAGTGTGTGATTAAAGAATACCACGTTTCTCAAAACGGAAATTTTAATTGTATTTATGCTTTTTCATATGTAGTTTATTGTAATCGGAGTACAAAATATAAAGTATTCAAGTGGCAACCATTTCACGCAACTACATGTATATTATGTGTATATCAATTTAACGTAACCAGACGTAACAAATGAGAGACAAGCTCTCGCGCGTTTTTTCATTTTTGGTGCGTTTTCTGTCGTGTATTCTTTTTCAGTGTCATTCATTGGGATTTGATTGTTGCCTTTTTTATGATTCGGGACTTGATTGGGTCTTGGACTGGATCTTAATAATGCAAGCACGGGTTAACTTGCCCCAACACTAATCATCATCATTATTATTATTATTATTATTATTTATTATTATTATTACTGTGCTGTATGAGTTAAGATAGACGTAGATTAACTTTAATTTTTAGATGTTTGTATTACAAACAATCAAACAATGGCGAGATATTATAGTCATCCGACGCTTTAACAAAAATTATTGACGATTTATCGTCTGATTCTACAAAATAACGATCAATACCAAAAGAATATTACTAAAAAATTGATGCATACATCTCAAACCTTTTTTGGTTATAATGAACAAAACTTTCCATTATTAGAGGGCTTTCTGGTGACGCGTACTTGCATATGTTAGGATGTTTCAGATGAATAATACATCACGAGCTTTTTCAGATGCCCCCCCTTCTTCCCCCTTTAATCCCCTTTAATCAAAGGGATTGCAAACCCTTCGATCTTATCGAATGAATCTTATTCATAATTGACTCCCAGTAAAAAATCAAGTATGACACTTGCTAGATCATTATTTAGATCAAAAAAAAGGGGCAGCAAATTATGGAGTAGGCACTTTTGTTTGAATCCATGTTGACATTTCTCTTGACATTAACGTGAAGTAGCATTTAGTTGATGTAGGATCATGATATTAAAAAATGTTAAAAGTAAATACTAATTACGCGGATACAGACTTATATGTAGAATTAAGATCAGATTTAAAGTTTAATTTCATCCTAAAAATACTGTTTGTGCTGTTTGTGTTTTCGTCACATTTTAACCCCGATCATTGTACCAATTTAGATTCACCAAATCAAAACTTTTCACTAGTATTTATATAGTCAATTACGTTGCGGGTCATGTGTTCAGTCACTCTAAATTTCAGCATCCTTGATATTTATTCCAAGAAAGATCCATATTATCACATGACTCGCAACGTATGATTATGACTGCGAATATAAATAAATGTATCAAACTCTAATGATCTTATAAATTATCATTAATTGGCTGTGCTAAAAATTAATTACATGATGAGTTATGCTTTTTAATCAATTGTGTATACATATTCTGAGATATTTTTGCTTTACTCATAATAGAGATATTGCTTTACTACTTGCAAGAAATATATCATGCAACAAATAAATATATATATATTATTCATTAAAATTTTCAAATCAAAATATATTACTTGAATTGGAATTAATAAAGATAATACTTTTCTTATAAATATTAACAGAATTGTACAGTGCATGTAACCTATAACAACCCTCAATATATGCGACCAAATTTTGGATAAGGTGAAAATCAGATCAAATTTGGGTCAGAACCAATAAAATTCTGAGAAATTGTCAAATCGAACGTTATTTTAAACCCTTTCATAATTCAAAAAATTTATAGATAAAATGATAAAGGTTTAAATTATAATTGCATATAATATTTCGAGTTTATTTAAAAAAAATTGAATATAAATTATATTAAATACAAATTCCCATTTTATACCGATATCTATATTCGGGTCCCCCCGTTAATCATTAGAAATTGATCATCAAAAAAAATCTTAAATACTATCGCTATTAATTGTTTAAAATTATAATATTAGTAAACATGGTTTTTATATAAATTTATAATTATGTTCTTATAAAGAGAGAAATTTTATAATAAGCTTATTTTTGTGTTCAATTCCTGATCACATGTACACAAACTTATAATTTAGAGCCGAGGATTTGAAGCTCGGCAAGGCTGATAAGCAATAATACACAGTGGTTCTCTTTATAGTGTACCTCCTTTATAGTGGAGACTAATTAAACTCGTGATATAGTGGATAATATCCAAAACTACCTTTAATAAAATCCATTCGATATAGTAAATTTACTAATAAACTCTCGATATAGTAAATTTTTTTACTATTAAATTTTTTTGATACACTATAAAGAGAGTTACTGTGTACTTGATTAAGTATATAAGATTAACAGTTAAGAAGATACTTATTAATCTTTTTCCCAGTTCTGATAAAGTAACTAGCTCATACAATAACTCTTTCAAATTTCTTAAAGACTTAAAAAACCTTGACTTTTTTCTTTTTCTTGCCAACATTTTTATTAGAACTTTAAGTTAGATTAAAACATTTGTTTTTTATATTTTTAATGATCGATAAAAAATCTTCGCGACACGAGTCTAGTACCTTAGTCATGACGAAAAAAAGTGGTTAGAGTGTGAAGGTCTTTTAGAATGACACGCTCAAATCTCCCTGTTCCAAAGTAAGTTGGGAGCAAATCCGAGGCCAACAATTATAACTTGCAAAAGAAAGTTTATTAGAATTTAAACCTGTTTGACAAAAGACTGAAATGATAAGCAGATTTTATTGTAGAAGTTTGCGCAGGTGAAGTTAAGATTATATACCATTCGCGATAGGTTTACTTGAAAATAAATTTTGAGAAATTTGAGTTCCTGAGAAAAAAGTCAATATCACTTGTACATTCATGAAGACAACCTTATTAGTAAAATGATAAAAAAAAGAATCTGATGTCTACTATTCACAGGGAATCAATGAAGTATTAAAAAATTTTGGGAGAATCTTAATAAAAAAGATGTTCCATCCTCTCGAAATACTAATACAACCATAGTTTATGTTGACGCGTTTTACTAATTTCCTCACCAAGTTCTAATTGGTTCAGAATATTAAGGATCAGGATTAGGATTGGATATCGAGAAGGTAAAATTGTCTTCACGACATTTTTAATTAATGCTTCAAGTTATATGTTTTCACATTTTTAGATTAATTTTTTGTTTCGGATTTGTTTTTGCCGGCGGACCAATTTTTTTTCGGGGGACGCTAGGTCCCGAAAGGACCACGCGATTGAGCACTATCCTTATGAAAATAATGAGATTTTAATTTTAGAAGATATATACTTCCGGTTATAATTGCGCAAACAACTTATCTTTTTGATTGGTCAAATGATTAAACGTGATCATCAGTTTATCCGTATTGGGTCAATATATATAAATCATAAATTTTTTTTCAACATGTATTTGGAAAAATGTTTAATAAAGCATCGTTTTCGGTATATTCGAGGGGTGTCGACTATAATTTACTGAAAAATTTTCGAACAGGGGGTCAATACCTTAATTGTAACAATTCCTATATTGGAAAAGTTTATACAAATAGTTTTTCCAGAGAATTATCAAGATATAACAATGGTATATTTTTGAATTTAATAATTGATGATCCCACACGGTGTTGATTTTTGATCATTAATTTTTGACTGCTACTAATAATGATAAAGTTCATACAACTGCCAAAAAATCGATATCGAATCCTGGATTATCTAATATCAGTAACAATGAAACTATTCCAATATCATCTTCCAAATTGCCACCACCATCAAATGTCAATTTCGAAAACCAGAATAACAGCATTGATGCTGCATCAACAATACCCTCGAATAAGAAAAGTTCCAATCCACCACTAGCATTCCCATGTATCGATAAAATGGCAACACGTACCCGATCCCTAGACGGAGGTCCGGAACCAGCATACGAAAAAGTAGTGACCGGATATTCAGTTTATCACCATGCCTTGCCATTCCTTTGTGATTATGGTGGAGTATTGCCGAAACTTGATATTGCTTATGAGACATGGGGAGAGTTGAATAGTCGAAAGGATAATGTGATTTTATTGCATACCGGTTTGTCAGCGAGTAGCCATGCAAAAAGTCATGAATTGAATGTTAATGCTGGATGGTGGGAGAACTTTATAGGTTACTAGATTATTCTTATTAGTATATTTTTAAAACGTTGAATCAAGGTTGTCAATCAGTATATGGTTTTTATAGGGCCTGGTCTTTCGATCGATACCAACAAATTTTTTGTGATTTGTACAAATGTAATCGGCGGTTGCTACGGTTCAACTGGTCCCGGTTCGATCGATCCATCTAATCAAGAGAGATACGCCACGCGATTCCCATTATTAACTATTTTTGATATGGTGCGCGCACAATTTTTGCTATTAGATCATCTGGGTGTGAATAAATTGTATGCTAGCGTTGGTAGTAGTATGGGTGGAATGCAGGTATTTTTGTTTATACGCGTAATCTAGTTTGAACAGAGTGTATAGAAAGTATGTAAAAAATTTAATTCTTTAAAGTCATTAGCAGCCGCGTATTTATACCCGGATCGAGTGTCTCGTTTAATTAGTATTTCTGCATGCGCTAGGTCTCATCCATACGCTATCGCTATGCGACATACCCAACGACAAGGTTAGTATTAATAGGGATTATCAAATATTTTGGGCAGATAAATATGAAAAATGATTATATGTTTATATTTATGATTGCATTAACCATTCTTCATTAAACACATAAAGTCTTAATGGCTGATCCAAATTGGAATAAAGGTTTCTACTATAATAAAATTCCGCCTCACACGGGGATGAAGGTATTATCAGTTAACATTTTTTATATTCGCTTATTTGTAAGTACATCATAACGATTAATCAGTCACTGAAATATTTCAATTTTAGCTCGCTCGTGAGATTGCCACAATCAGGTATCAGTTCATCTCGAGCTCATTATTATTTTTAGGAGAAATTCCCCTACATAACAATAATATTGATCTGGTTTTTTTTCGCTCTATTCGTGTGTTCCTCAAATTAGTTATCGATCTGGCCCAGAATGGGAGCAAAGATTTGGACGAAAACGTGCTAATGAAGATGAGTTACCCGCTTTATGTCCAGATTTTTTGATTGAAACTTATCTGGATCATCAGGTAAACATGTTACAGGATCCCGCTATTGAGTAATAGCTTCTCTGATTAATAATTATTTGAATATCAGGGTGAAAGATGGTGTTTACAATATGATCCAAATTCACTCTTATATATCTCCAAAGCGATGGATTTATTCGACATGTATTCCACATCATTAGAACGACTAAAACGACAAAGAGAAGTTAACATCGCTAATAAGGATGATCCAAATACAGATACCTTTGTCAACACCACCACAACACAGCAACCCAAATTGTCTCTTGATCAATATCCTGATCTTATAACTTCCACCACCACCACCACCACCACCACCACATCTTCAGATCGTCGACGACAAAAACATCTCTCCTCGCTGTACACCGCAGACACCGAAGAACTTGATGACCTCGTAAAAGGGTTATCTTCCATTCAAATTCCCGCGTTGGTTCTCGGCGTACAATCCGATATTCTGTTTCCTTACTGGCAACAGAAAGAAGTTGCCGAGTGCTTACGAATGGGTGGAAATAAGAATGTCACCTATTATGAGTTGGATTCGATGTATGGTCATGATACTTTTTTAATTGATTTGACGAATATTGGGAGTGCAGTGAAGGGGCACTTGGAATTAGGTGGTTAGATAGTCTTTGATTAATTATGCTTAGATTAATAATTTTTTTGTGTTATCGAAAAATAATATAGTGTCTAAAAAGTTCTATACATATTTATTATACATTTAAACAAATATAAATACGATTTCTTGATTTTCTGAAATCATTCCTTTAGAGCTGCCGACTTAGCCTTTTTTTACATTACATTCACTTCAAGAAAATTTAAAAAACACAAGGAAATCAAATTAAAATAAAAGATAATAGTGTGACTGTAAATATTAAATCTCATCATTATATTAGACAGTGACTATAGATTTTATAATTTGTTTAAATTTATACTAAAATGTTGTTTCATATTATATAATATAGAACTATTTTTTTATTTATAATAAATTAATTAATTACAAATCTAAATTTTAAGCTTAGTGAAAATTTTTTAAACAAGATAAATCTGCAATAATGCTAAAAATTATCAAATTATTAAAATTATTAAATTTATTTCAATTATTTTTTCTATATATATTGTTTTTTGATTAGACTTGGCATATGATTTTAGTAAATGAATTAAAAAGGCAGCAAAAATTTTATAGCCAATCAAATTTCATTAATCTGTTACTAATCAGAAATTGGTAGGTCAAACTACTGATAACAATAATATATTCACTACAGATCACGTGGTGATCGTGATTATAACCAATTTGTGATTATAAAGAGGTAAATCAATTAAGTTCAAGTCCACTTCACAAAATTGAGTGCTTAAATAGGGGTGTGGCTATATTATATAGGGTGTGACTGTAGAGAGGTCTGACTCATCATCTCCATCATGATGTAATGTTACTATATATGTGTGTGTATATAGAAAAAATTAGTTGGCATTAAAATAATGAAAAGTAGAATAAATTATTACCGTCGTAATAACATACCACTATTAAATTCCTCAAACGGATTCTCGCCATTTTTTTCCATCATCACCGTCTCACCCTCCATATCAAGACTAATACTCTCTTGAATATTTCTAAAATTCACGGCATCAGTGCCGTAACTTTGTTGGGGAATGATTGGCGGCGTGGTGTGCCGTAGTAACGCCCATTGTGTACTCTTGAAGAATGGATGGGCTTTCACGTCTGAAGCACCAGCTTTTGAACCTAGCCGTCGGTTCTCGTCTTTACACAGTAGTTTACGAATTAAGCTTTTGCATAGACTATTTATATTTGTTATAATGTTGATACAGTCAATATTGATCGATTGTAAATAAACAAATTAAATAAATTAAAAAGAATTACGGGCGAAAATGAAAGTACTTTGACACTGGCACGGATCCTGCTGGTTCCGGAAAATATACATCATTTCTCAATATATTTGAAAAAGTTGCATTACGACTCTGTCCTTTGAATGGAGTGATTCCATACTAACAACGACAAAAAAGAATTTCGTTTTTATGAGAAATAAATCAAATAATGGGTAATGATCAATATTTAATTGAATGCCATACCAGCATCTCGTATATTAAGATCCCAAGTGTCCACCAATCAACAGCACTCGTATGACCACATCCCTTTATCACTATACAACAGGCAAAGAATATTGTTAACTGGAGATAATTGATGATTTATATACTAAAGAAAAATAAATGTACCTTCTGGAGCGATATATTCTACAAAAAATTCGCAATTCAAATTTTTATTCCCCATTTTAAATAATCTAAATGGCACTAAACCAGAAAAAGGCGGATTTTACTCACCTTCTGTTCCCACAAAAGAATTAGTACGCAAATTAGCTATACATGATTTGGTGTCTATGGATGGCGGCTATTATTGATCCCAGAATATTAGTTAGGTAAAGAAATAAATATTTAACACGCAAGAAAACACATACCGCATTCCCTGAACTATTTTTAACTATGCCTGGCATGTTTGCAGGATGTGATTGTTTTGACAGGTCAAAATCTATCATAACCATAGAATTAACACCCTTATCAATTCTTGTATGATGCAAATGAAGAATTAGAGTATTTTCATACCTGAAAGCATAATATGTCCCGATTGATGTAATAATATGTCTAAGTACAATTCAAGCATTATTTAATATACCTTACATAATTTATAAGAAGACGTTATCACATAATTATGATAAAAGTTTCTCACTTTCTGGTTTTAGATCCCGATAAATAAATCCCATCAGATGTAAATATTCTAATGCTGCAATGACTTCTGCCGCATAAAATTTCGCATCCTCCTCTGCAAGGCATTTTCCAGGTCGTGTTTGTAAGGCTATATAGAATCATACAATTATTGACAAGAAGTCACAAATTTGAAACAATTCAAAAAGAGCAGGACATTAAATGTTTCTCACCTCGAAAAAATTCGCCTCCCATGCAATATTCCATACAAAGGTACAAATACTCTTCGCTTTGAAACGAATGATACAATGTTACAATAAAAGGATGATTGGATGTTGCCAGTATTTCCTATGCATGTATCATTTAGATTCTTTATTAATATAATTGACAAGGCCACAAAACAAAGAATAACAAAAAATAAAAAAACCTGCTCTGCTAATGCACGTTTAATTTTATTTCTTTTGATCATTTCCTTTTTAGACAAGACTATAATAAAATATTAAAATTCAGAAATGTCTTAAAACCCAACCCATAATAATATAAAAAATGCACTAAAACAAAACCTTTCATTGCAAATAATTTTCCCGTTTTTTTCTCTGTCACTAGATAAACTTTTCCTACGTCACCCTTCCCGAGTAATTTAACCTTTTGAAAACTGTTCGGTCCAACTTCCACACTTTTAACTTTAATAGAATTTGACGAATAAGTACGTCTAAATGTCCCAGAGCGTTTAAACTCTGATATTGGCTTTGGTGTCGGGGGAACAATTAAGTTATTATTATTATTATTATTATTAGTGTCATTTGAATGATTATTCGAATATAGATCAATTGCACTCCCACTATAATGTTGATGTTGTGGGGATTGCAGCTGATTAGTATTATTCATCGATTGGACTAATAAAACCTCTGATTTCTCATTAGGTAATTTAGTATTTGGTGCTGATGCTACTCTACGTAATGTCTGATTATTTCCTAACCAAGAAGGCCCTAATGTTTTAGATTTCTCATTGGATTTAAACAATGTCCCATTTAATTTATTATTATGACCATTGACGCCTATGTTCTTTTCATAAGCACTCCCATTAGTAATCGTGCTATTCAATGATGTCGATGAACCAATCTCATGAACAGAATTAAGGCCACCATTCATTGAGCCCAAAGATCCCTCTTTCTTCGAACTGCTGCTACCATTATTCAATCGAAAAAATGATTTTAACTTTGATGGTAAATGCGACATATAAGAAGGTACAGGACTCGCAATGATTCCAGTATGCCCACCGGAAGGCGGCGGAGACCCGTAAGGAATGTCAGCGAGCATAGATTCCGGCTCAGCTACTATTCTTCCTTCTTCGTTTAATTCTATATTATGAAACTGTTCAACGCTTGTTGAAGAGCCTGCCAGATTACTATGATTACTGATACTACTACTGCTACTATTGTCTGCTTTGTATTTTCCAAGAGAGACTGGCTGCAAATGCTCAAAAGAATTATTCGTTGTCGTATGAAGTGTGACGATTGATTTATTTTCTAAAGTAAAACTAGTGTCCATACCAGTTTTAATAGAAACTCGATCAACAATAGAGGCACATATATTTTTTTCAAATAGATAACTTGCCACGCTCTCACTAATTAACGGTAATGGCGTCGGTTATTTACGTTTAGATAGAGGATTTTTGGGTAACTTGAGCGAGTATGGGGAGTTTTTCCCCTCAAGCAGATTATAGTTGTCGACTTCTAAATAACAAACAAGCGCTCACAACAATTTTGGCAGATGCCTGAAATGCCAGAAAAGAAAATGGTAGTTTACTAAAAATGATAGTCCACTGTATATGTGTGTGTATATATATATAACTTTTGCTTTATTATTTATATAAAAATAATTTTAACTATTTATAAAAAAGGATTGATTTTGATTGAGCTTCGGAACAAAAATTCGTTGGTGTCCATTGGCTCAAAACGGGTGACATGTAATTTCTACTTTCCCCGAGTCTGTTGTATCACCTTTCTCATTGTGAGAATTTCTACGAATCTAATTTAAATCATGTGAAGACGATCTCTTGGCAGTTATATATATTGCATTTTATTTAGATAGATATAGTTAGTTTTCTCATTATCGATTTCCAGATTAATTAATTTTGGTTAATTTATAATTTACAAAAAAACTAACACATGTTTAGTCTAAAGATCGTATTATGCAATGTCATCATTGTTCTTTTTGATCCATCATATTTTGCTCAAATTCTCGTAAAAGTTTAAAATCTTCCATGTAAGCAGCAATAATATCGCGATGAATCTGTCATATAACGTAAGTTAATATTAATATAATCATTTTAATTCAATATATAAGAATCAATGAATAAGAAAAACCATTGAGAATAGAATATAACATACTAGAGTAGGAGTCCGCTGAGTAACCTTTATATTTTTTGCGCGATAAGATTTTCTTCGACGTTTGTAGTCTCGTTGTTCAGCCAGCAATTCTTCACGAGATTTTAACCCCTGATTTTGTTCTAGACGTAATAATTCAAGTTAATAAAAATTCTTATTGAGATAAAGTTTACGCGAAAAAGATTGAAATCATCAAAAAAAGACCTTTAAACTTTTGAAGATTTTCCCAGACTTCATCAAAGTTCTGATACACATCGCGTTTTTGTCGATTGTGATGCGCCAGTCGTATTTGATTAGAGTCTGAGAGAGCTTTCAAATACTCTGAGAGACGTTGTTCCACAGTCGGACTTTGGCCAATGCTTGGAGCAGCCCTGGCGGTTTTTCGTAATTCGTCTAGATTACGTGCGAGCGTGAAACATGATATTTAATACTCGAATTTTTGCTATCCAGCTAGATCATTCGATTTTATTTTCCTCTGTCAAACCAACCTGTTTCTAAAAGGGAGATAACCGATGGTGCATCCTTGTAATAAAAAGTCGAACTAGGCAATTGACGTTGCTTGAAGAATAAACGATAAATATTATTATGAAAATTCTTTTTTCATCCGATCCTATCAATATTATAAATGTTCGCACCATGCCACGCTCTTTCTTGATTCCATGATACTTTAACTCGCAACGTTTATAATGCGCCTCGTAACTTTTATGTGGCACTCTATGAGAAGCGTCAAATGGACAGATAACCCAATTTTGTGTTTCCTATAAAATAAACAAGAAGGTGTGTAAAATTACTAGCTTTTTTCCTTTTCTTTTTACTAATGCCTCCAACTTATGTTAGTAGCACAAAAAAATGCGCCTGTCCTCTCATTAATGCACACCTCCTCACGAGATTCCAGAAATTCTCTAGACCAAGAAAGCTCATTTAATAGCTTATTGAACTTATGATCATAATCGTCAAGTTGTTTTGTTATTTCGGCTATAAAAGAATCACGGTCATTATCTGCATAAGTGATGGTGGTATCCAGTGGGGTAGAAGGTTTAGAAATGTTAATCGTATCGTTTGATTGCATCTCGATATAGAGGTGGTTTGATTGATTTTATTATCATCCAATATAATGCTCAATATTTTGAAGCATGATCTTCCATGATGAACCTTCCATAGCGATTCTTTATTTTAAGAATACAACGGGTTTTGCCCGCACAATACGGAAACCATTTCTCTTTACTTTTATGCTTCATTTATTAATAAAATAGAAAAACTTACGTTTATAATATATATTTTTTATTTTTATATCAAAATAAAAATATAATCGATAATTTTATATAGAATTTTTGATATGATTCTGTTACATTTTTTTTTTTACAAAATCAGGAACTTAAAAACAGTAAAATTTGAATTTTCTGTATATTATAATTAATATGATTTTTTAGAAAAATCATAAATATTTCTTAAATTTGTAATTAATATAATTATGTCTTTTAATAAATATATTAAAAATCACAAGTATTATATATAAAAATATTTTTGTAACTTGTAGTAAGAAAGAAGTTTTAATTATAATTTATATCAAAATATAATAATTTATGATAATGAAAGAAGTTTTTAGTATCGTTATTACCGTAAAACGCCATTTAAGGTATCCCACGTTTAAAAACATCCCCTTTGACTTAGCAAGCAAGCGATTTTGTATCGTACCCAGGTATTTTAAATGGAAATACGGTTCTACAAGACCCGGAGTATGACACTAAATCATTACGTTTATCCATAAATGCGACAATTAAAAATTATTGCGTCCAGTTATTATCCCTATTCCCATTTTGTGTTATGACTCGAACTTCCTCGATTTCAAAGAACCATCGCTCCCTACCCACATGTATGATTCAACTGACAGCGACAAGGGCTCAATTAAGCAACCAATAAGAATGTGCACCTTACATGTGATTAGGAATAATTTTTGAATCCCTTGAAATTTGTATCCAGAATTCATTTCTTCCTGATAATTGTATCTATGCACGGTATGTATACTACTTGAACACAATGGTCGATACGTTTATCGGATACACACTTTTATTATTCACTTTTGTTCCTTGTCCAACTTATCATGTTCGTTTTTTGGGTCATAAATAACACACCAATACTTTCTTCCCTCAACTAACAACTTTTTCGACCAAGAAAAATTGTATTTTTGCAGCCTAACCTATTTATACCATTTAGTGTATCTTCCACTAACTATATTTTGTGCTTATTGCTGCCGCCCCTTTGTTAAACCTCTAATACCTATCCTTTATATAAATATACATGAAATACATAATCCACACAATAATTTAATATTTTTTAATTCACCGTGTTGCATATTGAAGATTTTTGGCGGCGATTGTCGAAATCGTCAGGTCCCCATTCGTCGTCGTCACCTCACTCTACCTCTCCTCCGAGAGTCGCTTTAGTAGCTGCTGCTACTTCATCACTTCCTTTCTCTTCGCGTAAACCTAGAAAAATAAACTCCTCCACCCTCGAAACAACAGCAGCTGATACTCAGGACTCGGCTGTAAAATTGACCGACAACGTTTTACTTCCGGAACTCGAATTGCCAGATCCCCAATTGACAGAGTTGTCATCTATGACAGTCGATAATCACACAGACATGACTAGCGAGATGGGTAATTTATTTTTAAACAAAATGGTTGGGTTTTTTTACTTGAGTTAATATCCGTAACTGACGATGCTATTCCTTTGCACATATATATTTCTATTCACCCGTGTAAATAAATTTTATGCTGGTCCCTTTTATTTAATATAATCTAAAAATCTTTAAAAGAAGACCCAAACAGTGTTACACTTTTAAAACAACAAGTTCATAATCTGCGTCATGACCTTGCCGAACGAAATGCGATACTAGTGAACGTACAAAAACAATTAGGTCGTTCACAAAATGGCAATGAGGGAACAACCGGTCGTGTCATTGAAAAGTTACATGAGGAAATCGATCGCCTGAAAAAAGAACTCGCCGACGCAAAAACACAAATTCAAGTCAATAAAGTTGCACGTGAACGAGCAGAACGACAACTAAACGAACATTTAAATTCACATGAGACTTTTCGTGCAGAGATCGATTCGTTGAAACGAATGCTTGAACGAAAAGAAAGTAAAATAAAGGAAATGGAAAATACAGTCAAAGAGAATGACAAGAAACAGCTGGATATGAAGTTTGAACGTGATAACGCAAATACTAAACTTCGACAGTCGGAACTAAAAGTGTCATCATTAGAGAGAAAATTGGCAGATGCTCTCGCTGGAAGAGAACAAGCTGAACACGAATATCTCCTCTTGTCAAAGGAAATGCAAAATTTCAAAAGACGATATGCAGAAGATGTGGATACCGTGAAAAAGGAGTTTCTGGAGCTTCGAGAACAACTAAACAAGAAAGCTCAGCAATTGGAAGAAGTTATATTAATGACTGGTGTCCGTGTTGAAGAAATAACATCCAGTCGTGGTACGGATTTGGAAACCTTGGAAACTACTCACAATAAACTGAAGCAAAATCAGGAAAAATATGCAGCGAAATTTTTAATTGAGATTGAAAAATTGAAACGGGAGGTTGAGTCGTCAAGTAAGAAGACTTCGGAAAATGTAGAGCAAGTAGGAAAAATGAAAGCAGAAATATCTGGCAAATTAAATTGGCTAGCTCGTATTGAAAAAGCACAAATAGCATCTTAATCATAATAATTATAATGAATCATAATTATTGTTTTTTTTGTTTAAAAAAAGATTTATGTCTTCATTGATTCATACAAACACAAATCAATGGGCAATTTTCTTTCTCAGATAAAATTATCGGAACAATAATTACTGAACAAATTTACCAAATCATCGGTCAATATAGAATTGACTATTAACTTATTAGTTAATTTTTGTGAAGAAAATATTTGTTATAACTGTAATTTATAAGAATATCACTATTCCTTTAATTGCGTTTATTATTTCTTATTGTTTCTTATTTTAAATATCATTATTAATTATGGGGGACTAGCGGGAACTACAATAAGAGAGAATGAACTGGACATTCTTAGTCATTTTCAAAGAAAAATGTGAGGAGAGCTGTGATGTTGGTGAGGGGAATTCGTGGTTGTTTTAATTTATATACTTAATTAATTGTGGAATATTTGTATTCTTAATCTTTATATATAACGATAATAGTAAATATATTTTAATTTTATTTCGCTTCTTTTGTTCATTATCATGTTCATCAGATCCGATGTTAAAAAATAAAAATCATTTTCTTCATGATCCATTCATTTTAATCTGCTATATACTTATTTACATGATGTTAAGAATTCAAGCAATAGATACGCCCATCAAAATGACTATTTGTTAAGACGTTCTAGTTCAGAGCATACATACATACATCACTCACACACACACACACACACACACACACACACACACACACACAGTGTTGCTACGTTCAAGAATTTCTTGTCGAATTCCGGGGATTGTCGCACATCATTTCGGGTTGATAAACACATAAGTCATGGGATCTATGTCAGCAACTTGATCTTAACAATTCAAGAACTTTATTTGAATTTTATATATTATGATAATAACTTTTATTTTACTTAAGATTATTGAATTAATATAAATAACTTGTATAAATCTTCGATTTTTTAGGGTTATTGATGTTAGCTAAAGAATTTTCTAAAAAATATCTTAGAAAGATAATATATACGGAAATGAACAAGATTAATCAAATCCTGAAATCGTGATAATTTTAGTTGCTATAATTTCGGATTTCGTACATCACAATTGCTTTTATTTTGTTTTGCGAAGTTATATTATCAAGTGCAGATAACATATTTGATAAATTAATAATTGAAAGAATTATGTAATGAATAGAACGTTTATATTTTGGATTTACCAGTTCAATCCATACACATAAAAAAAATAAAATAAACATATCAAAGCTGCTCCATTACATAATTGCTGCTCGAAAGTTCTTTTAATCTAAAATGCTTGCTTTTCTACTTTACCGCTGGAGTAATTTTGACGCGTTTTATATGTTCGGTGAATCCAACCTTAATCACGTGATAAATATTTATTAATTTGTTAGCTATCTTTACAGCGATGAGTGATCAAAATGTCTTCAACTAGCCAGAAAAATGAAATACCTTCAGACGAGCCTTTATTTTGTGATTTTTGTCGCTTACTTGAACTAATACAGGAAGCAAAGGGTGATCAAAAGAAAAAGCGTCTCGAGAGATATCTCCAGGTAAGTCAAGTACAATTTGATCTCTTTTTTGGCCAAGTTCTGACGAAATTAACGTGTTATTTTGATTGCTTGATAATGTCGATAGATATGGCGTCGTAAATATGGCTATGACGTTTATCCTGCTATGCGATTACTATTACCACAAGTACGTCAATATTTGAGAAATTTATCTTTTAGAGGTTTTCCCTTTAAGATACGCGTTATAGTATGAAATCTTGTTGATAAATTAAGCCATAATTGCGTATTTTGTCTATAATCTTAGCTTGACAAAGAAGGTGCTCACTATAGAATGAAAGAAGCAAATCTGGCGAAAATGTATATAGATGTTTTAGGAATTGGACGAAAATCAGAGACAGGGCAACGACTTGTGAATTGGAAAATGCCTGGGAAAAATAATGTAAAATCTCTAAATTTAACTGTCTTTTTCATAATTATCTTTATTCGATTAATAAATTCGCCAGTACATTCTTCGTTCAATTAGATAGTAGCCGGTGATTTTGCGTCAGTCGCGTATGATATTATTGCTCCTCGATCGACCGTAATAGGAAGTAGTAAAATTACGATTAATGAAGTGAATCATCAGCTTGATTTATTGAACGCCGCGAGTTCTGGGTATTTTTTATATGAAATGTCGAGTTTTTGGTTAATATTCATTATGATCAATATGTTCAATTTGTTTATAGAAAAGAAAGTCAAAAAGTGATCCGATATTTTTTTGATAATTTTTCTCCTGATGAGCAAAAATGGATTATTCGGATAATTTTAAAAGGTATGTTTGTGCCATATGTGTATATATGTATATAGTATAATTATCATTCACAATAAAAAATGGTTTATTTTAGAATTAAAATTGGGAATGAGTGAAAAATCCGTGTTTCAAGTTTATCATCCAGATGCCGAGGATCTTTTTAATGTTTGTAGTAGTCTAAAAAAAGTTTGCGACGATTTACAAGACCCATCGGTTAGACTCACAGTAAAAGTAAGTTTTATTCATTTCTATAGTACATATCAAGTTTAGCTTATCGATACAAGATAAATCTGTAAATTTCGATGTGATAGGAAATCTCACTTTTCAATCCGATAAAACCCATGCTTGCTAAACTTGTTCCGATACAAGAAATTGTTAAATTGATGGGAGGTAATTTTTGGATTGAACAAAAATTAGATGGTGAACGAATACATATACATAAGCGCGATAGAGAATATAAGTATTTTTCAAGGTAAGAATATTAATAATAGTTGTTCTTTTGGCTTATTTTTTTAAATTGATAAGCATTTCGAATCGATTAATCAAAAAAATTACAGGAGAGCTACGGACTATACAGAATTATACGGTTCTAATAGATACGAAGGATCCTTAACACCCTTTATTTATGATTGTTTTGATTCACGAGTTAAGAGGTAATTATTGAAAAAATTCTTTGTTAATATGTTTCATCTTAATTTATGATTATCTTTCAGTTGCATTATTGATGGCGAAATGGTTACTTGGGATCCGATCTATCAAGCTGTTTTGCCGTTTGGTTCTTTGAAAACTGCTGGGCTTGGTATGTATTTATTAGGATCCGATTAAGGAATCTATGACATGTATAATGAATTAATATCATTAACCACAATTGACTTTATATAATTAGATCGTTCTACGGATGAAAATAAAGCAAGACCTTGCTGTATCTTTTTTTTCTTGATTAATAATTATTGGCCATTCATCACAATTATAATAGGTTTATTATAGAACAAAAGCCATTATATATTCTTAACGTAATATGCAAATTTTTACATAAACAGTCGTGATTTTTGATATTCTCTATTGTAATGGAAAGGTACTTATCGAAAAACCATTATCAGAACGACAAATGTTTCTACGAAAGATTGTAAAAGAGAAAGAAGGTCACCTGATAATATTGGAACATAAAACCGCATCAACTCAAAAAGAGTTGGTGGATGTTATTGAGACGGCTATTCAGGAAAGGTGGCTATTTTATTGGAATTAATCTCTTAAATTAGACATCGTTAAAGCTTTGTTGTTAATATCTGCTGAACTTTTTATTTAAAGACAAGAAGGTGTTATCGTTAAAAACCCATCCAGTGCCTATACACTAAACACAAGAAACAATGACTGGATCAAGATTAAGCCGGAATATATGGACTCTTTAGGTGATTCTTTGGATTTATTGGTTATAGGTATAGTATATTTTCATTATATTAAAATAAAATAGTGTTTATTTTTTCCTTCAGAGGACACTTACTTTTATTCAATTATTCTGTTCCCATCAGGCGGGCTTTATGGAATTGGAAAGCGCCGTGATATGGTTGGAAGTTTTTTCTGTGGTCTAAGAGACGCTTCGTCATCTGAACCAAAGTATGCGCAAGATTATGTTTTTTATCCAATAAATACTTAACCAATTAAATTATTGAATAATTTAAAAGATTTTTAGCATTTTGTCGTATTGGTACTGGATTTACCATGGAAAACTTAAAAGAATTCAAGTAAGTTTTTTATTACTTATTTTCTTACGATAAAAAAACTTAAAATGTTTATCGTAATTCTGCTCCTTAAATAGCAAAAATGCACAAGATTGGAAACCTTTTGATGCGAATAAATGTCCAAGTTGGCTTTCTTTTGGCAAAGACAAACCGGATGTAATTATTGCTCCAAATAAGTGAGTTTTACTGAAACAATGCATTGTTATTCTTCTATTGAATCTTGTGATGAATTTCAATCATATAATTTCTTAAAGATCATTCGTAGCACAAGTTAAAGCCGCCGAAATTATTCCTGCAGGTAATTTTTTATTTCTTTGTTTCGTCCAAAAATTACACGGTTTACTAATAGCTTAACAAATCGAATACTCACCCCATTTCCTATAACAAACTAAACAAACGCCAAATATTTCGTTATCTGCAGGCGACTCATTTGCTGTCCCGTACACACTGCGGTTTCCACGATTTGAAAAAGTTCGAGAAGATAAAGATTGGAAGAGCGCAATGAGTTTTCAAGGTATATTATCTATGTTCATCATGCTTCAAGTATCTAAAAACATTTGTTTCATTTCGATTTTTATGATAAACATGATCTTATTAAGAAATGATGGATATGAAAAAATACGGAACGCAATCGAAGAATATGAGCGCGTCTGATTTCATGTAGGATCGATATTCGGAATTCTGAGGTTTTTTGAAAGTATCATTATTATTATTTCTCTCACTTATTCATTTTTCTTTAGTCACACTACGAGATTAAAGCGTAGAAAAGCGAATGGACCACCAAAGGTAGGAATTGAGTTTTTAATTATACTTATATAATTATCCTGATTACCGTAAGTTTCCAATAAAGAACACCTTCGATTTCTAATGTAACCTTTTAGAGATAGACACGCACATTATAATACAATACTTTTGAAGAATGTTATCTGTACTAGACTCTGGACTTTAATTGACAAAATACCTATTAGCGTAGCCTCTTTCGTATAACGTCCTATCCTTTACAAATTAAATAGTAATCGGTAAGAGGCTCGAGGTGTCTTATTGGAAAATTACGGTATATTAATATCTATTTAATTTAAATACATAATATATTTTATATTGAAACATTTTTACTCCTGCAGCCAAGAAGAAAAATACGCATTCTTGATAATTACATGGTTGAAGATACATCTACATCCACAGACAAATCAAAACCTACACTTTTCAAAAACATGGATTTTTGTAAGTAATAAAAACGGTAATTTGATTTATATTTCATGAGATTTAATATTATTAATATTTTATTTAGGTGTGATGCAACAAAAGTCCAAACAAGAATTACAACGCCAAATCAAAGAACATGGCGGAAACTTGTTTCAACACCCGGAAGGGTCTGCTCAAATTAATGTAATTTCTGATTCGGACAAATGTAATGTCATATATATTGTTTCCATTTCTTTTGTTAAAAGACAATATCTTAATTATTTATTCTTTTTGGGATTTCTTAAATTCAGATTTCACTGTGAAAAATCTGATCAAAAAAGAAAAATGCGATATCATTCATCCGAAATGGATTACTGATTGTATTGAAGCTGGCCGTGTTATATCTTTAAGCCCAAAGTAAATTTATGATAAAATATTATATCTTCTTACTTGATTTTGAAAAATATTTTATAGTATATTTCATATGTTTAAGGTATATGGTGTTTACGACTGAGGCCACCGAGATAAAATTTCGTCAAAGTATGGATGAATGGGGTGATAGCTACATCGAAGAAGTAACGATCGAGGATATAAAAGAGGTATAATATAAAATATGATTATTTTCATTTTGGATCTTACTATTTACTGGATTCGCATGAACTTTGCACTTTGATACCATACCATAACAAGATTTTGAATCGAATGCCAAGTCGTGAACTTTCAACTACAGATAGGCAACAATATCAGTTACTCGCCAAATTGCAATCATGTTTTCAAGAAGCCTCTTTGAAAAATCTACTATCATATAACTCGTTTCTGGGTTGTCTGATATATCTTGATGTTCCTTCGTCATCGACATCGTTGCCTCTTAAAGAGAGCAACAGTAATAAGAATAGCAGCAATATAGTAGATCGAAATCTAGAATGGGCCATTCGAGAAAATACTCGAGATCGGTAATACATCTCTTTTATCAGGAATGAAGCTAGTGTCGCGTTGTTTACGAGAATGAAATATATTTTTTATCTATAGGTTTCGACTTGTAAAATCAATACTTAAATATCAAGGAGCAGAATTTACAGACGATATCAATAACTCTGAAATTACACATATTGTCGTCGTCAAACAGGCAGATGTCAACCGTTATCAAAAAGAGCGTTCAACAAGGTAACTAAATTGTTCTTTGATTTTTAATTTGCTTTTCTATGCATTGGTTAATTATTTGCGATTCGATTTTTCTTTGTTAAGGGGTGTAAACATATTGACTATTGACCAAATGGTCAAGAGTTACTAAAATAAGTTAATTCTCATAAAAAGCAGATTTAGTATCTATAATTGAATTAAAAAAATGATATCGATATTGTGCAATAAAAAATTTACAATTGACTATAAAGACCATGTATTTTAGTATTTGATTTTTATGTCAAACCGGAAGAGAATCAAGGCCTGGAGAAAGATTCACCGTGAACCATTTTCATCTCTTCATTACATTTCCGATTATCTGAATATTTCCACACCAATTACAAGTTTTAGATATATTGACTAATAAATCGAACTCCCAATGCTTCAGCCTTAGTGATGGTGTCCAGAACGGCATCTTTCCGTCTTCATCTAATTTTTCTTGTCTTATGATTCATCATGTTGGATATCTTAAAAGAGAGAAATAATCAAATTCGTGAGTGAAAAATCTGAATTTTATTCTGCTTTCACAGCATTTTACATTGCATCCGATTGTCTTATTAAGTCATTTGGTCTTTTTTTTGTATGTGCTTGAGGTTGATTGTGCAAGCTTATCTTTTTTGATATCCAATTATTCCTACAAATATACCGTATAATTTCGATAATAAGTAAATTGCTACCCTTTAAATCATTAATTCTACGATAATAATTTTTGATTATATCTCTACTAAGTTTTCCCACCCAAGATTAAGAATATCAACGGCTACAATACCACACATATCATCTAAAGAACATTTTCTTTCTGCCATAATTCTATCGAAAATAATTTTAAATTGGTTCCAAATTTCTGAAGTTATATCCGAAAACGATCGTTGGCTCGAATCAGAAGCTTCGGATTGATTACCGTCATTTTGATTACCGTCATTGAAAGAGAAGCCTAAATTAGGATTAAATGAAAGAATAGCCAAAGCTGTATTAAATCCACGATCACTTCCTGAATTATCTGGAGAAGTTATTAATATAAAGGAAATGAAAGATGCTCCAGAAGTTTATTCCAATTTCTTGAGTAAGGAACCTAGTACAACTTTGATTCATTCTCCTATGATGACAGGAAAAACGAAAGGTTTAAGAAGGAATATTGAGACTTAATCCAGAAGTGAAGCACAATTACCTGCTATTATTTGGATCTCTTATCGAAAAACTCTTAGTAACAAATCACAAGGCAAAATTAATCATCGAGGCTCAAAATCTGTAACTATCAAGATGAACAGAACTTATCTGTAGATAAATGGGATGTTATTATAGTCCAAGTTGAGAGCCTTTCTCGTATCGAATTTTCAGCTCGTGCAATTATAGCCATTTTAGATGAAGTTAATGCAATTCAGCGTCAAATGAATAGCAGTTCGAATGCACGAGAATCTGAGGATGCAATGCATGATGTGTTAAAATCAGCTCTACATGTATTAGCAATAGATGCCTTCGCAAATTTAGGCACATTAGCATTTCTTAAGGCTTATCATGGTGAAAATATTCAAATAATTAATAAGTATCAGCCTCTTATAGGTAAAACTATTAAATATCTTCCTGATCCAAATAGTGGAGATGAAGCTATGCAAATAGGATTTAAGTTTTTGAAACAAGATAAACATATGGTATTTGTTGTAACAAGTTTTAATATGACTCAAGCATTAGTAGAAAAAGCTTCTAAATTATCTTTTAAAGCTCATACTTATTATGGAGATATGGATGAAAAATAACAAAAAAATGATTTTTTAGATATTAATACAACTTGAAGATGAACTTGATTGTGTAGCTTATACAAATATAGTAGAAGCAAATATTTCTTTCAAGAAATCTAATCATTTTGACATAGTTATAGGCATTACAAATATTGAAACTCTAGTTAATATCAAAGTATTTATTCAGATGATATTTCAAATTTATAATTATAAAAAGTATATACCGTATCACACTGCTTACAGTACCCCCAAAATATAGTACCCCCCATGATTAAGACCCGGATACTTTTCACCAACTTTAGTGGTGTAATCT